GTGTGTGTGTGTGTGTGTGTGTGTGTGTGTGTGTAATGTCTTTGAATCAGTGGTTCGACTGGTTTGGTTAAAAAAGAGGAACCAGCTCCTAATTTCTTTTAGGTCTGTCTTTGTAGTGCGTTTCCCCAGAATGGGAAGGATGCAAAACAGGTCTGATCCAACAGGATGTGAGGCTTTCCGGGCCTTCCTGTTCAGGCTGAAGCTGCTTTCTGGAGCTGTTTCTGTTTCAGCTGCTGGTTGTTCTGCAGGGGCGCGTCCAGCTCCAGAAATGACACAATCCTTTTTATTCAGGCAGAAACCTCAGAGTCAAACACCCTGTTGTGTAACTTCGGCAGCTGCGCTCTGCTGATGTGTTTCTGGTGTGTGTTTGTGTGTGCGTAGATGGCCCACATACCAGAGGAAAGGTGTGTCGCAGCCACACCTGTCATCTGCCTCAGGATTTAAACACACACGCTTTTTGTGTTGCTGTACCTGTGAGGACCGGCCTTCCGGCAGCCTGTGCTCGGTCCTCACAAACATACAAGTCCCCATTTCACACACTTCAAAGCAGCTGAGTGCAGGAGTGTCCAGAAGCCGAGTCCTGACCGGGCAGGTATTCCAGGTGTGGTCTGCTGGGTTCATCACAACATCCTTAAACCCCAGCCTCTAATAAGCATGTCTGATATTTCACATAAGATTTATTTCACACAAACAGGATAAAAAAAACCTGTTTCAGAGGCAGCTGTTCTGTTTACCCTGTTAGCTTCATGTAGGGGTTTTTTTAATCAGGAAATGATTGTTTAATCTAAATTAATAGTTAAAAACCTCACATTCTCTGAAGACATGCATGTCGCCCGCTGCCTTTTGTGAGACCATGTTGATAAATGATGGCGTCCAGATGTTTCTGACCCCTGGTTGTTTCCTTCGCCCCTCTCAGGTCGCTGTGGTGAAGATGAAGAACACTGAGATGGTTTACGCCATGAAGATCCTGAATAAGTGGGAGATGCTGAAGAGAGCTGAGGTGGGTCTTCATCCTGCTCCTCTTCGTCGTGCTGTGTGACGTGCAGCTGTGATGATGTCGTGCAGCTGTGACGACGTGCAGCTGTGACGATGTCGTGCAGCTGTGACGATGTCGTGCAGCTGTGACGATGTCGTGCAGCTGTGACGATGTCGTGCAGCTGTGATGACGTCGTGCAGCTGTGACGATGTCGTGCAGCTGTGATGACGTGCAGCTGTGACGATGACGTGCAGCTGTGATGTCGTGCAGCTGTGGCGATGTCGTGCAGCTCTGATGATGTCGTGCAGCTGTGGCGATGTCGTGCAGCTGTGATGATGACGTGCAGCTGTGACGTCGTGCAGCTGTGGCGATGTTGTGCAGCTGTGATGATGTCGTGCAGCTGTGATGATGTCGTGCAGCTGTGATGATGTCATGCAGCTGTGGCGATGTCAGCTGTGGCGATGTCGTGCAGCTGTGACGATGTCAGCTGTGGCGATGTCGTGCAGCTGTGACGATGTCAGCTGTGGCGATGTCGTGCAGCTGTGACGATGTCAGCTGTGGCGATGTCGTGCAGCTGTGGCGATGTCGTGCAGCTGTGACGATGTCAGCTGTGGCGATGTCGTGCAGCTGTGACGATGTCAGCTGTGACGATGGCGTGCAGGTGACGACGTGCAGCTGTGATGTCAGCTGTGACGATGTCGTGCAGGTGACGACGTGCAGCTGTGATGTCAGCTGTGACGATGACGTGCAGCTGTGATGTCAGCTGTGACGATGACGTGCAGCTGTGATGTCAGCTGTGACGATGTCGTGCAGGTGACGACGTACAGCTGTGATGTCAGCTGTAATGGTGTTGTGCAGGTGACGACGTGCAGCTGTGATGTCAGCTGTGATGATGTCGTGCAGCTGTGACGATGTCAGTGTGGCGATGACCTGCAGCTGTGATGATGTCATGTTGCTCTCTGTGCAGACGGCGTGTTTCCGTGAAGAGCGCGACGTCCTGGTGAAAGGAGACAGTCAGTGGATCACGACGCTTCACTACGCCTTCCAGGACGACAACTACCTGGTTGGTACCGCTCTGAGCAGAACTCTGAGTGCCTCAGACCTGGAGCTGATGTTATGTTTACACCTGTGTCCTGCAGTACCTGGTCATGGACTACTATGTGGGTGGGGACCTGCTGACCCTGCTCAGCAAGTTTGAGGATCGACTTCCCGAAGACATGTCCAAGTTCTATGTAGCAGAAATGGTGCTGGCCATCCACTCCATCCACCAGCAGAACTACATCCACAGGTAGGCTCGGGCGGACAGCCTCCTCTGTGATCACTCTGGTTGTCATGGGAACGGTGCAAGCTGGGTCCTGTGGCYGTTTTCTTGGAGATTTTGCGCCAAACACAGGAAGTGTTTTGCTCTTGGCAGCTGTGTCCTCTGGGAATCGTAGTCACATCCTGCTCAGGCCTTCACCTTTCCTTCCTGAAGCTGCAGGATGTTGAAGCACCGCTGTTCAAACTCAACTTTATTTAAAATGTGTCCTCGTTCTGATGCCTTTCTGTTGATCTGCAGCTGTTTGTGTGTTCGTGTTGTCTAGTCAGACAGAAAAGCTCAGTTACGTTTGAGTCGTTGTACAGAGTGCTGTTTGTTTTCTTCAACTGCTGTCACTGTGATGTCAGCTAACARATGTGCTAATGTTTTCTTCAGCTGCTGTCACTGTGATGTCAGCTAACAGATGTGCTAATGTTGTTTTCTTTAGCCGCTATCGCTATGATGTTGGCTAACAGATGTGCAAATGTTGTTTTCTTCAGCTAATGTCACTATGATTTGGGCTAACAGATGTGCTAATGCTTTCTTTAGCTACTGTCACTGTGATGTCAGCTAACATATGTGCTAATGCTTTCTTTAGCTACTGTCACTGTGATGTCAGCTAACAGATGTGCCAATGCTTTCGGCTGCTGTCGCTGTGATGTCAGCTAACAGATGTGCTAATGTTTTTTTCTTCAGCTGCTGTCACTGTGATATCAGCTAACAGATGTGCTCATGTTGTTTTCCAGAGATATAAAACCAGACAACGTCCTGCTAGATGTCAACGGCCACATTCGGCTTGCGGACTTCGGCTCTTGCCTGCGCATGATGGAGGATGGCACGGTAAGGTTCATGTACGAATGAGCTGCAGGCCTGTGGGCGTGTGTGTTGAAGTTGATTTAAGCTGTTTTTAAGCCACACCCCCTCACCTGTAGTTGTGTTAGGGTTGGGCGATATGGCAAAAAAATGATCACAGTTAATTTTTTCGTATCGTCTGATCTCGATTAAAATCACAATTTTTTTTGTTAACCTAAAAAGTGACTGAAAAATAATTTAACATAAATAGCTACAGAAATTTAAAAAATAGTTCAAGTTTATTTATATAGCGCCAAGTCACAACATATGTTGTCTCGGGGTACTGTACATAAAAAGAACAATCTAAAGAAGAAGCCATCAGATTGTGTTGAATCACTTCATCACAGTCTCCCATCCTGAGCAAACGGTGGAGAGGAAAAACTCCCTGCTAATCAGGAAGAAAGCTCCAGCAGAACCAGGCTCAGGACAGGTGGCCGTTGAGGCAGATGGCCGCCTGTCCTGAGCCTGTCTGTTGTTTCACTTTCACTTTCACCGATATAACAAATAGCTGTGGTTCAGAAGAACCTTAAATTATTTTTGCAAGTTATTTAAAACTGTATTTACCAAGAAATAAAAACATGTCAATCATAGAATCTCACATTAATAAAGTTATCCTTTTGTAAAGTTAAAGTTTAGAAACGAATTTCATATTAAAAATGCTATAAAGAAACATAAAACTACAAACAGCAACAATTTGTGCACACTTGCCAATTGGACAGGATCTAAGCTCATTACTTTTGTTATGGACGGAACCCCGCCTCCTGTTTACAGATCTTTATCAAACAACAGACGAAGCTGTTTCATTTTTTCTGAAAGAATATCTGATTCTACAGACAGGATAAAATGTTGCATAAACTCCCACCTTCTCAGTGTTGTGGAGTTTGCAGCGTGTCTCAGCTGCTGTTTGCGATGAGACTCAAACAGGAAGTGGTCTTCACGTCACGTCCAGCCCATCGTGTGCCGATAAAACTTACAGAAAAGTTCTTCTCCATATAAATGAAGAACCGTTGGGACATTGTTCCATCCTAAACATTACCCTAAGACCGCTTCATATTTTTGAAGGACACTTTAGTTTTAGCGAGACATGCATCACGGCTAAGTAAGTTGTGATGTTTTTCAGTTTTCATGGCGTGTTCAGAGGAGAGCAGGTGTGTAACGCTTCTTCTTCCTGCTTCAGGTCCAGTCCTCCGTGGCGGTGGGCACTCCGGACTACATTTCTCCAGAGATCCTGCAGGCGATGGAGGACGGCATGGGTCGCTAYGGCCCCGAGTGTGACTGGTGGTCTCTGGGAGTCTGCATGTACGAGATGCTGTACGGAGAGACGCCGTTTTACGCAGAGTCCCTGGTCGAAACCTACGGAAAGATCATGAACCACGAGGTCAGAAACACAACAGTCCACCATGTTTCCTTTCTGTAATCACTCACAGGTGTTGAAGTAATCAGATTACTTTTTAAAGCAAGTCTTTATATTCGGCTCATCCTCTGCTGCTGTTTCCAGGTTACGTGTTTGTCTCCAGACTCTTGTCCTACTTCCTGTTTTCTAAATCTGAACGTGTCCCTCAGTGGACGGACGCCGCTCTCTGCTCATGGTTGCACCCACCGYCTAAACGCCTCCCCGTCTCTTTCCAGGACCGTTTCCAGTTCCCCTCCCACGTGACCGACGTCTCAGAAGACGCCAAGGACCTGATCCAACGGCTGCTCTGCTCCAGGGACCGCCGGCTCGGACTGAACGGCATCTCGGACTTCAAGGGCCACCCGTTCTTCAACGGGATCGACTGGGACAACATCCGATCCTTGGAGGCCCCCTACATTCCCGACGTGTCGTCCCCCACCGACACCTCCAACTTCGACGTGGACGACGACGTTCTGAAGAACCCGGTGAGGACCGGCGCCGGGACGGGAAGCAGGTTGATGATCTGAGTCGAGGTGTGTTGACGCTCGTTCTTGTCTTCAGGACATCGCGCCTCCCGTGTCTCACACCGGCTTCACGGGGCAGCACCTCCCCTTCGTCGGCTTCACCTTCACCACCGAGAGCTGCTTCTCTGACCGCAGCGCCATCAGCTGGACGGCGCTGGGGGTCCGGCAGAAGGACGGGGTCGACGGCGGGCAGGAGGTGGAGGCGTTCGAGAAGAGGATCCGCCGCCTGGAGCAGGAGAAACAGGAGCTGAACCGCAAACTGCAAGGTGAGGCAGACTCCAGGAGGCGTAAAGCTCCACAGTTAGTGCAGAGCTCCTCTCTGAGCTGGTCTGTGTTCCTGCAGAGTCCACGCAGGCCCTGCAGGCCCCGGCCCGAGGAGGGACTCTGACTCGAGACAAAGAGATCAAGAAGCTGAACGAGGAGATCGACCGACTCAAGAAGAAGCTGGCAGGTCAGAATCACAGGGCTGATGGCTAAAAATAAAGAAATTAAAAGACCCAGAGATTTAACAAGCGTTTCTCTGCACCGAACAGAGGAGCAGCTTTCACTTTATACAAACTAGACCCTGCTAACGTCTCAACAAAACCTTGATTCAGATCCAGCAGAAGTTCAACCAGTGCTTAAATTAAAAAAAAGAGAAATTATTTGTTGAAATAAGTTTGAAAAAGAACTGGAGACAGTATTGAAGCTGGCAGATTGTTAAAAACCTGCTGTTAGAGAAGATGAACCTGCAGAACGATGTTCACTGACTTCCACCTGAGAGACGGAGATCAACTGGCTCTGCAAGTGCATGCTAACGTTAGCATCTGCTGGCTGTGCAGCTAGATGCTAACATTATTAGCATCTGACCGCTGTGCCGGTGCATGCTAACGCTAGCATCAGATGGCTGTGAAGGTGCATGCTAACATTAGTGTCTATGGCTGTGCAGCTAGATGCTAACGTTAGTGTCTACCAGCTGTGCAGCTAGATGCTAATATTGGCATCAACTGGCTGTGAAGGTGCATGCTAATGTTAACATCAGACCGTTGTGAAGGTGCATGCTAACGTTAGTGTCCACCAGCTGTGAAGGTGCATGCTAACGTTGGTGTCTACCGGCTGTGCAGCTAGATGCTAACGTTAGTGTCTACCAGCTGTGCAGCTAGATGCTAACGTTGGTGTCTACCAGCTGTGCAGCTAGATGCTAACGTTGGTGTCTACCAGCTGTGCAGCTAGATGCTAATATTAGCATCAACTGGCTGTGCAGGTGCATGCTAACGTTAACATCAGACTGCTGTGAAGGTGCATGCTAACGTTAACATCAGACTGCTGTGAAGGTGCATGCTAACGTTAGTGTCTACCAGCTGTGCAGCTAGATGCTAACGTTAGTGTCCACCAGCTGTGAAGGTGCATGCTAACGTTAGTGTCTACCAGCTGTGCAGCTAGATGCTAACGTTAGTGTC